CGCTCTGTCTTGGGCCCGTAAGGAAGCCTGAGTCACTACTGGACCCGGAGCTTGTCTTTGACCCGGGCCTTTGCAGATACAAGACAAGCCTGAGTCGCCCACGGCGTGGCCTGAGAGCTGCGCATTCTGCGGCGATGGAAGCCCGGCGTGGCCTCTGGTCCTCTTGCCTGGGCTGGGGGAGATGCTGGTGGGACGCACGGCGGGCACCTGCTCTTGGCTGTCTCTGCAGGGCGACCGTGGCTCCTCCGGGACTTCCCTGCATGGGCTCCTGCCAGTCACAGGGGCATCTCGGTCTCTGCTGACGCTGCCCAGAGCTCCCTTCAGGCGTGAAGACGTCCTCCTGCCGTCCTTCCTGGAGGCCCCGTGAACGCCAGGGCTCCCCTGTCCTGGGAGAGGCTTCTCTGCCTCTCTGAGCCGCACTGCGAGCCTCCCTGCTCAGCAGCCTCTGGGCTCAGCCGACTTGCAACCGAAAGACAGTTTTTGCCCTGCTTGTTTGATCTGAAAGGGAAGCTTCCAGATGGCCTCTGGGCTTTGCTCTTCCTAGTGCAGTGTCGTTAAAAACTGCCTCTATGTTTGGCTCTGGCCACCTGGCTTTTTTAAAATTTTAACAATAAAATAGGCACAGACCTTTTAGCCCAGTTGTGTGGGAATAGTATCTAGTTTTTATTTTATGTTTTTATTTATATCTTGCATATCTGCAAAGGTAGGGACAGATAGAGGGCTATAAGAAATTGAAGTAGTTCTCTTCTGAGTGATTAATATGGAAAGTACCTTCAACATTTGGGGAAAAGTTTATCATCTTTGGCTCTTAAATGTGGTACCCTAAAGTAAACCATGTTTTCCACTGTGGTTCCATGTTTTCGACGTTACTGTCTAGGGGAGCTGTGGTCAGTCCTTTCTGTTGCCAGCATGGCTTCTCTCCCCTGAAACTGAGTCAGGTACACACATCTGCCAGTGTGCTCAAGTTATGAGCAGAGCAGCTCAGTGATCATTTGCCTTTTGGAGAGTCAAGTTTAGGTGCTTCAACTCGCAGCAAGAAAAGAAGGGGAAAGTTAAAATCGAGCTGCCTTGCTTTCAAAATTAGAAAATACTCAGCTTGCTTCAGATGTAGACTTAAATGCTGTGGTGGTATCCTTGAGATCTCGGCATCCTTGAATCGGAAGGCCCGTGAACGTGGAGTGTCTCTGTGGGTCCAGGTAGCTCTTTTGCTAATTTGCTCCTTTTGTATTGTTGTGAAGATTTATTGAAGTTTAAAAGTTTATCATATAAGATGTCTTACTGTTAACATTTGTATGCCATGCTTTTGAAATATCGTCATTTGTCAGTTTACCTCGTAGGTTATCCATACTTGTTTATACAAAGACTCTGCCCAGCTGCCCGTTCCCGTGGGTCAGGGGCTATTTTATTTTTCTGGGTGAGGCCTGGGGAGACTCTGGTGACTGCCTGCATGATTGGCAAGTGGCAGTTGGAAGTTTTATGGTCTGCATTAATGGATCTGGTTCTTAGAAGCGAAGTTGCTTGCTAAGAAAATTACCCTCTTCATTTCTGTTTTTAGTAGGGAGGCCTTGGCGTTGGTCCAACAGTTAATGAGAAATCATGGCACAGTTATGTTTTTTTATTTTTTTCTCAATTCTTTCTGTGTTTGACATAATGGTGAAAATGAAAGAAGCTTGAGTGGAAATGCATCAATAAAATAAAAGCATATTGCAACTATATCCTGGCCTTGGGTTTTCCTCGATAACTATATATTTTTCACAGAATTAATTATATTCTAAAGTGCCCCCGTGCTCTTTGTGTTTCTGCGGGCTGTTTGCTGGCAGCGTGGTCGCGTGCTGCCGTGCCCTGAGCTGAAGCGGCGCTTTCATAACTTCTAAGACGCCTGCATTGTCTGTGGTTTCTATGGTTTAAATTAAATTTTCCTATTGTTCATACTGATAAGAATCCGGCTGCACTCCGACTATCAGGATACATTAGTGTGTTGTCTGTAAAAACTAACTCTTCTCTTTAAGTGAATAACAGATATACACTACCTATGCAATTAATCTAATCTGTTGAATGGCGGGGCCTGGAGCCGTCCTGGCAGGAGCTCGGTGGGCGCCGAGCCGTGAGATGACTCCTGGGGGCGCCGACGCCCTTCGGTTTCTCTCATGGATGGTCTCAGGGCGTGTTCGGGTAATGACAGCTTCATCACAGCTGCACCGCGGATCCCGAGAGCAGCACCAGTCATGCATCTTGAATTAGAAGGAAATGCAAGTCACAAGCGCCTGAAATAGATCAGTGATTGCTTTAGTCCCTTGAATTGATACCAAAGGTGAGAAATTTTAGTTGAAAATACGTGTAGCAGCCTCTTCCCTCTGTGGCCATGAAACTGTGGGCGTTTATTCATACGCCCCCTTCTGAGGAGACGGACTGCGTGTAATTGATGCCATCCAGCGCTTACTCGCAGGGGCCACAGAGAAGACTTGGCATCAGTAAACTTCTGTTTTCTTAAAGATTTACCCTTGGAAGTAGATTCCTGTGAAAGGAAAAAATCATTTTTAGTTGGCTGCTCTGGGGAAATGATGTTATTAAAAAAATATTTGCTGGTAACGTGTGCTAAATACTTGGCTGGAATTACTTGGTTTTTAAAAATCAAACAATGTTTTTTCCTGATTAAAAATATTTGCAGTTAAAAAAATTTTGATCATAAGCACATACAGAGGAGAAAATTAAAATTCATCAGCTTTCCTGTCATCAACAGTAACTTTTGTTGCTGTTTATGTGGCTACCCCTTTCCTCTGTGTATTTGTATATGTGTCACGTCTTGAATAGTACTTTACATCCTGTTTTTTTGAAGTAAATAAAGAACATTATTTTATGGCATTAAATATTTTTTTTCTACAGCAAGCGCCAAAATACTTTCTGAGACTCCTGAGGAGTATGTAGAACTAGGTATGTTGTGAATATAATTGTCCTTTGGGATTTATGTGGGGAATTGGTCCCAGGACCCATGCAGACACTGAAGTCCACACGCACTCATGTCTTGCAGTCGCCCTACAAAGCCACGTGTCGGGACAGTGGGCCCCCCGTCCACATATGCTCAGGTCCTGCAGTCGGCCGTGAACCCGCTTATAGGGACCGTGGGCCCTCCATCCGCACACATGCAGGTATTAGTGGGCTTCCCTTCCTGGTCAGGTTGTGTGTCATTTGTCTGCTAATAACCTCTGTGCTCTGGACTTGGGGCTTGGACTTAGGGATTTATGAAAAGATCACCAAAAAGCATTTTTGGTGCGATATGTAGTAGGTTTTACAGTCCAATCAGGTAGGTTGCATAGCCAGCGCTGGGTCTCAGGCTATCCTCGCTGGATTTAGAATAATGCCTGGTGCTAGGGCGTGGTCCCAAGGCCCTTTCTCCCTCAGAGGAAGTAGGGCTTTTTGGAGAAGCGGCTGCTTTAGGTCTGGGAGAAGCGAAGCTAAGCCTGGAGGCTTCCATACTAGAGAGCAGGGAGCACACTTGGGCCCAGGATGCCCCCAAGAGGCTCCGTCTTCCCAGCATGGGCACCAGTAGAATCAGCACTGTGACGGGTTGAGGCAGTTAATCTGCCTTCTCTGATGATATAAAACACAACAAGAAACCGATCAAGGCACTATCAGACGCCCCCTCAGCACTTTTTGATCCGTCCAGTGCTTCCCTGCTGATCTGTTAATGTAATGAATGATAGTGACAGCCTCTGAGAAGCGTCCTTTGCTCAGAGGGCAGGGTGGCGGGTTGAGAAAGTAGTCCAGCCGGCCAGTGAGGAGAAAGAGCCATCCGGTAGATGTGTCCTGTGTGCCAGAGTCAAGCTAGACTCCAGGGGAATTGGAGAGCCAAGTAGCAAAAACAGCACAACAGGATTCCTAGAGGAACACGGTGGAGAGTGCCTCTGGGACCTGGGAGTGGGAGGATCTTGGACAGGACACGCAGAAGCTGTGGGAATACAAGTGTCTCCACATGACACAACCTAGAGTGAAGCAACACAGGCACACCTTGCGAACAGTGGCCGCGATAAACTTGGAACCATTAAGTCTGCGATGTGTAGCGATTCACAAATGGTCATGATCCCTGGTGTCCAAAGAGTTTTGGTATGTTGATGAGAAAAAGGCAAAATGAATAGAAAGGAGGGCCCAGAGCGCTCACAGAGAAGAAAAGCAGGAGCAACGGGAGCCGTGAAAGACTGCTCGGTGCATCCAAAGCAAGCAGGACACAGGATGCAAGACGCAGGCCACGGCGGCGGGAGGGGAACCTGGAGTGCCTGGAAGAACTAAAGTTACTTCAGCCAGCAGACCTGCTTATGTAAAGCAAGGTCATGGAAGTGGAAGCACAGCTCATGGCTGAGCATGAAAAGAAGCTGCTGTTGTCGGGCAAGCAGGCTGCAGACAGTTGACTCGGTGGCCTTCCTGATGCCAGTGCTGTGGGCTGGCGGAGGGCTCGCTTCCTCCGGTGACGCCTGGTGGCTGGGCTGGCCTCTCGTGTGCAAGGCGGGGTCGGCCTGCAGGTGACGAGCTGAGCCCAGGGGCTTTTGTGTGAGCAGGGCGTGTCGGCCCAGGCCTCTCTGGACCCCAGACCTGGGACTCTGCACGCAGAGGCTGTGAGGCTGTGAGGCTGGCCGTCGGAGTGAGGGCTGCGGGGGACAGTGGCACGATGACCACGCAGGCAGCTCTCAAGGTCTGCGTTGCCACTAGAGGGGCAGGCTCAGGCTGGGTTGCCACATTTCACGGCAGAGGCTGGGCTTGGCATGTTGTCTCCAGGCTATACTCCAAGAAAAAGTGTAATGGATTTTGCTATGCCTTTGCTTTACACATCTGGGAATTGTATGATTAACTTGAGGGGGATTCTATGCACAGTGCTCTAAAGCAAGTTTTGGTGTATCAGTGAGTAAGCCTTCTTGTAGCTAGAGAATGTGGCTTTCTGGAATAACCTGATGTTGCTTTTGGCTAATATCTGGCCCTAAATTAATTTTCCAGTGCTCCTTTGCTTTCAGTTTTTCGTGGCCTCAGACCCAACTGTTAAGACTGACCGGCTGTGGCATGACAAGTACACTCTGAGGAAGTCGATGATTCCCTCGTTCATTACGATGGATCAGTCCAGGAAGGTAGGGCTGGGGGAGACCGGGGGGTTTTGGGGCTTATTGCTTGCCTGGCCTTCCCTCCTCCTCCCCCCCCCCACTTGGATAGCCTGGCAAAACCTGTTTTCAGTTGCACAATTTTGTTGCGTTTTGGAACTGTTGATGTTCTTGACGTGGAGTAAATGTTAACGTGTGTTTGTCAATGTGTCCTTAAGTCGCTCGAATTCCCCTGATAACTGTCGTGGTTGCTCTTGTTATGCAGTTTCTTGTGAGCAGCCAGCGTGTCATTGAAGAACATTTGCACAATCATCCTGATTTTATGTAATCATGGGATATTTTTCTTTGTAGGTTCTCTTGATAGGAAAATCAATAAATTTCTTACACCAGGTTTGTCACGATCAGACTCCCACTACAAAGATGATAGGCGTGACCAAGTCTGCGGAGTCCCCCCAGGATGGTAGGTGCCGTGGTGGGGTGGTGGCGCAGGTGGTGGTGGCGGTGAAGTGATGATGGTAATGAGGATGGCAGTTTGCGTGGTGGTGATGATGGGGGAGGGAGTGTGCCGATGCCGTATGTCCCTGGAGGTATTTTCTGTTCCACAGTATTTGCAGGCTATCGGAATTATCTGCAAAACCCCTTGATACGTAGTATGAGACACACACACACACACACACACACACACACACACACACACACACGGTGCTAACAAAAGTTTAAACATTTTAAGAAAGGAAAAAATTGTATTAAATTTGTAACACTCAGTAGTCCATGAATACAAGTCAAGGAGACATCTGCAATCACAAGAGGTGCTCATGGTGGCTACCGTCAGCGTCCAGATACGTCTGATGACAATGAACTGAAAGTAATGCATAGATGACATCTCTGACAATGTGGATACATTATTTGGCATCCCTGTATAATATCTGCTACTATGTAAATTTTGTGTCCTTTTTATATGGAATTAAATAATAAGTATTGGAATAGCCGTGGCTATTTTTTTTTTGAGTTGGAGTCTCACTCTGTCGCCCAGACTGGAGTGCAGTAGCCGTTCCCGGCCACTGCAGCCTCGACCTGCTGGGCTCCGGCGATCCTTCCGCCTCAGCCTTCCAAGTAGCCGTAATTACAGGCGCGCGCTACCACGCCTGGCTGATTTTTTGATTTATTGTAGAGATGAGGTCTTGCTGCCCAGGCGGGTCTCGAACCCGCAGGCTCAGGAAATCCACTCACCTCAGCCTCCCAAAGGCGTGGGATTACAGGCTGAGCCACCGAGCCCGGCTGCCGTGGCTATTTTATCTTTCTTAGTAGTCTGTGTTACTTTTTTTTTTGAGTTGGAGTCTTACTCCTCGCTCAGTCTAGAGGGCAGTGGCCTGCTCATGGCCACTTCAGCATCAACCTGCTAGGCTCAGGCGATCCTTCCACTTCAGCCTTCCAAATAGCCGGTACTACAGGCGCACACTTATTTGCCCAGCTAATTTTTTGATTTACTGTAGAGACCAGGTCTCACCACGTTGCCCAGGCTGGCCTTGAACCCACAGACTCAGGCAGTCCTCTCGCCTTAGCCTCCCAATGTGCTGGGATTACAGGCTTGAGCCACCACTCCCAGCCTTTGTTACTTTTTTAATGGTCAAGTGACAGTGTACCAAAATGAGAAAAATAAAAGAATTCTTGCTGACGGGTGCTGTGCTTGGGGCGCAAAGGCATGTTCAGAAGTCAGCCAGGATTTGGCAGGTGTTGGTTGCATTCCAAGTGCTGGGTTAAACTGAGCCTGGCATGGCATCCCCTCTGCTCCCACCTTTCCTTCCTTTCCTGTTTGCTGCCTACCCTGTCGCGTCTTAGTGTTTTGTGTCTGGTGCTCCAGTTCTGGCAGGTCACTGTCGGTACTGTTATCTTGACTCCTTCGAGTGGTTTCCATCACGTGGGGTGTGTGGTAGGCCTAGGAGAGACAGCGTGCATTCTCGTGACTGGGCCCTCCATGGGCTTTCTAGTCCAGCAGTGGAGATAAGACTTGCAGTACAATAATGATCGGTAACGAAGGCAGAATGTGGCCAATGAGAGGAGACGTGGAGTGTCGTGGGTGTTTTAGACAAGGCGTCGGAGGTCTGGACGGAGGAGGATTGGTGGACGCGGCGGGAGGAGAGCCATTGCCTGCGGGTTCGTGCAGCCCAGGTGAGGAGGTGGCATGAGCCAAAGCACTGGCAAGGGACAGCAGGAGGCAGATGTGCTCCAGCGTTGGTGTGAAAACAAGGAAGAGCTGCCGTCGACACTCCTGGGTGACGGATTGAAGAGGGTCACCAGAGCCCGGTGTATAGGTGACTGGATGTGCTTTCGTTGTGGGCGTTTCCATCATGAAACAGAAATGGGCGTTTCTGGGACATCTGGAACATGGGGGGAGTGGGAAGAGGAAGATGTTGCTAGAACCCTGAGCCCGGGAGGCTGAGTGGAGCGTGTGGCAGAGAGTTTAGAATAAGGAAGGCTGGAGTATAGCGCAGCAGCTCTCATGCCTGCGAGGACTTCCTGCTGGAGACTCCCAGTGTGTGTTGGAAATGCTCTTTTGGAGATCTGGCTGAAGGTCAGGGCCGAACATGGGAGCTCGGCAAGCCCCTGCCCGCCGTGGACGCCAGGACGGGCCAGCTGGGGCAGTGGGAGTTCACACACTGTCACATGTGCCTATTGGGGCCCGTGGCGGGGGTGAGACAGACTTGGGAAATGCCCCACTCAAGAGGCAGAGGAAAGAAGGAAGGAGAGCTGGGGTAAGGTTGGCGTCTCGACCGTCTGCAGGGAGCTCACAGGGGCCCGGCCTTCAGAGCTCTGCACAAGGTGCTGCTGCCGTTCGGTGCTCCTGCTGACACGGCTGCTCTTACACTGCTGCTCACACCGCTGCCTTAATACTGCCACTAACAAACACGGCGGCTGCTGCTACTGCGGACGGCCCTCCATGTCCCTGGGTTCCACCTCTGCAGATTCAGCTGGCCCTGGGTTGAAAATACCAGGGGAAAAACAGTAAAAAATAACACGATTTAGATAATGCTGATAAAACAATACAGTGTAGCAGTTATTGACGCAGTGTTCGTGCTGCCTTAGGTGTTGTGAGTCACGTGAAGTTGCTGTGCGGTGTCTGGAGCATACGTGCGGGTTCTGTGCACACACGACCGACCATGTGTGTATCAAGGACTTGAGGTCTGGGGAGTCCGGGGTCCACGGGGTCCTGGGCCCATACTGGCAGACCCCGAGGGGCACTGCCTGCTACTCTACTGCTGTCCAGGACGCCTCCCATCCCCTCCTCACCCCTGCAGCTGCCTGGCCTGTGTGGAGAGCAGTCCTTCTGCAGGGGAGTTTCCAGTGGGTCCGGGAAGATGAAGGCTCCAAATCCTGAGACCCTGGTGATAGGCAGCTGTAGTGGACAGTGGCACGTTCAGATTTACCTGGGAGCAAAATAGGAAGCTTTACAAGTGTGAGTAAAGACCAAGGAGCACATTTTAACAACCGGAGCATAAAATATGGCTAAACCATGAAGGAGCAGAGCGGGTTATGGGCAAGTGCTGGGTCTTACCTCTTAAAAGGCTCCTTTGGGCTAAGATTGGTTGCTCTTTATTTAAGCCTTTTCTTTGGAGTGAAAATCTTGAATGACTCAAACAAGGTTTTGGTGGAAGCACTTCTGGAGGGAGATATTTATGTCCTTCAAACCATATAGATGAACGGACGTGTGAACCCTGCCCTTGACCGCCATGGTGAGTCCTGGAGGGCATCATGGGCGAAGGCCAGGCCGGCCCGTGCTTCCCAGTCACTGCATCTCCTCTGGGACACGCTCATCCCCTGTCGCAGTGGAATGGGAGTGCCAGCAGTATCGACAGGCTGGTGTGAGCTGAGTGCTTCTGAAGGACAAGCAGAAGAGGGTATGGTCTTCTGGCATTTTCACACGGGTTAACGCAGATCGTGAAGAGACTTGAACTTGGTGTTCCAGACGTTGGCTCTTGTTCTTGCTTAGCCTTGGACGAGTGTTGGCCTTTTCACACTGTGAGAGGATTCCTCAGCATGGGGACGGTTTCCAGCTCAAGGCTTCCTGTGGCTTGTCACTGAGGGGCCGCCCTGTGGACAGTTTGTGCTGCACAGATGTGAATCAGTGCTCTGTGGAGCCGTGCTGTGCAGAGCCTCTACCTCCCGGTTCTTTCACGGGGAAGTAGTGGGAGCATTTTCCTCTCGGTCTTGCCTAGATTCAGGCTTCTCTATTGACGGTGCTCTGGTTTTGCCCCTGGACCGTGTCCAGCGATTTCCTGGCATTCACTGTATGATGCTGTGACGTGTCTGCCTGGGGCTAACACCCAGTTTATGCACAGAGTTGTGCAGCTCGCAAGCTCATTCACGCATGTCTTGTGGTCTCAGGACTAATGTAGGAAGCCGTCTTGGGGGTGTGACAGGTGACTCAGCCCTGTGACCTGCCGATGTTAGTGAGGTTTCGAGTCAGTTACAGCATAGAAAGGGATCTTGGCATCATGAAGGGGCGAGTGCAGAGGACTGCCATGAGCCTAGCTTGGTGGCTGCGGGCTCCGGCTTGCCCTTGTGGACCGTGCTGCCGCTGCGTCTGGGCTCAGTGTGTCACGGATGCATGCACGGTAGACCCTGACTCCGTGTGTGCCATCAGTTCCTTTGTGAAGATACAAAGAATGTGTGTGTGTCCTCCTGTTCCCTACAGCTGCGGACTTGTTCACAGACCTAGAGAATGCGTTTCAGGGGAAGATCGACGCTGCTTATTTTGAGACCAGCAAATACCTGTTGGATGTGCTCAATAAAAAATACAGCCTGCTGGACCACATGCAGGCCATGAGGCGGTACCTGCTTCTCGGGCAAGGAGACTTCATCAGACACTTGATGGATTTGCTCAAGTAAGAACTGACTTTGGATATTTGCAGGTGCGCGGTGTATCGGCATGAGGAAGAATCTTAATTCTGTGTAAAAGAGTCAGTGGTATTGGAGGCCATTGAGTTGACGTTCACAGAGCACGTTTAACTCGTTCACCACCGCTGACGTGAATCCACATCATTCCAAATTCTGTTTCTGGCTGCTGCTGTCATGAAGTGACGTCTTTGCGGATTCTGTTTCTGAATGCTGCAACACTGTCATATGCCTATGTTATTAGATTTTGCTTGAAAATGAATGATGCGGCAAGGAGAGAGAAAGTTAATTGAGATAATTATCTAATATTGACTGTGCAGTGTTGTTATCGATTTACGTAGTTGGTAAAAATCACAAGTTGGTCATTATTTTGTTGCGATTTGTGTTGTATTTTGATATTTCAGGACTTTCTTACTTCAGTGTTAAAAATAATTTACCATGGTTATGGAAGGTGAAGACATACATGGTGATGAGATTTCTGAGGTTGAAGGTGAATCCAGTGAACTTATTAATGATATTGAGACAGATAGTGATGTAATGATGCAATGTAAATGAAGACATATATCTAAAACATATATCTCTATATCTATATCTATATATAGCATATTAGGTTTATAATCCGAATAAAAATACAAAGTACGGAATGCTAGTCAGAGTGGTATCTGAGGCAAATCCTCAGTATGACTGCAACTTTCGACTGTGTTGTGAAAAAGGTGACAGTTTAGAAAAAACCGTCTTACTTGTGATTAATAACCGAAGTTTGCGGCAACCAACTTCAGATTTTTTTTTTACCCACTCTCAGTATTAGGAAAGTGAAAAATGTGCCAATTGTGCATATGTTCAAATGGAGTCTGAAAAGCTGAGACTGTGACATTTGGACAAGTTGCCGTCCCTTCGTGTTTGCCTGGCCATCAGCAGAGTGTCACGGTCCTGCTCTGTGCTGTGTTCACGGGAGACACCCGTGTTCTGTGGCACTTGCAGCCCTGAGGACGAGGAGTTTGTGGCATAATCATCGTTAACTTCCGCTTCATTCACGATAAATCTGAACAATGCAATGTGTATTTTAAAATTGAATTTTAGTTTCATATTTTTAGTTAATATTATCTCATGTGAAAACGAAGCAAGACCATTTCCATTTTCATCTTGTCCCCTGACTTTCTCATGGCGTCTTCCCTTCCAGAATTTAATGTCTGTCTTTCCTCCATTGGTAGCCACAGGCTACTGCACTGGCATGGCCGTTTCCACCCAGGCATTTATGAGAATGGAATTTCTGATTTTTTGGTGTTCCCTTCAAGACACTTGAAATGAGTTAAGTGTTCCCTTACAGACACAAAACAGCAAGCTTCCTTTAATTCTGTCTGTGCTAACCAAGTCACTGTTTTAGGCCTTGGGTCTTCAAACGTCAGGGAGGGTCAGACTCCCCTGACCTTGGTCGCGGCCCACCTGCAGAGGTTGACCCAGCAGAACTGGGGTGGCGTGTGAGAATGCGTGTGTCTAGCAAGGCCCTGGCTGCTGGCACCCTTGCCTCGGGGTCTGTGCTTTGAGAGCCACTGTTGGAGGTGTCCAAGCTCTTGCCTTCCAGCTGGAAGTCAGTCTTCCACACAAGAGCTAGTGCTGTGTTTGGAGGCACACCTGGTGATGGCTGACCTGCGTGCTCATGTCTGAGTGAGCCGATCATCCGCCCGACAGAGGGCTTGCGGTTGGAGAGGGAAGTAGCGTTTCTGCCAGATCAGTAAGGAAGGGTTCCCTACGAATCTCTGTACTGGTCAGCCGCAGGGCAGTATTTTGAGGTCTGAGTTGAGCAGCGCTGAGCTTTAGAAGGGGGTATGTTCTCTAAATGCTGCGGGGCTGAAGTGTGGGGTGTCCAGGAAGTGAGTCGCTGCAGCTAGTAACTGGAAGCCCGAGTGGCCTTCAGAGGACGTGGCCATTGTGGAGCCCTGCATGTGGCTCACTTGGCGTATTTGCCTTCTGACGCTTAAAGTGTCTCGTTCTCCCTGTTAAGTGGAGCATGTACTTCTTCCCGGAGTTTTGTCTTAGGATTCTAGTTTTTAAAAGGGGAGCGCCGTCCGTGTCTCCAGCTGGCCTCTGACTAGCTTGCACGCAGCTGACCAGCGTCCTCCCCGCCCAGAGTTCACACGGCTGACATGAACTCGGAGTGTATGTGTTAGAGTCTAGACGCATTCCTGAATGTTGGGCGTTGTCCTTGGCTTGGTTGGCTCTCCATCAAAGAAATGTCAGTGCCATCGTTAGATGAGCAGGTCCCACAGCCCGAGGAGTGTTTCCTGAGGACGAGTGGCTGTTACCTTAGAATCATGACATTCGTGTGTCCGACTGTTCCAACTAGATAACACAGCTCTCCCCAGCGGGTCATGCTGCTCAGGCCAGTGGAAATCTTGACAGCCTTATTGGTGAATGTCCAGCACACCTGAGGACTTTCAGTCCAAGCTGAAGCAGGATGGTGGGTTTTAGGGTTTTGAGGATGTTTGCTGTTCCAGCACAAAGCTCTTGTCACCACTTCCTACCAGTGTCTTGTTAGTCCCCTCTGTCTTTTCATTGACTATAATTTGAACTCTTTTGGTAAGTGTTAAACAAGTTCATTGAGAATCAGTGTAACCTTTTCTTTAATTTTAAAAAATGTGTGAAGACCGGAACTTGTCCGTCCAGCCACAACTTTGTATCAGCACAACCTGACCGGGATCCTGGAGACCGCCGTCAGGGCCACCAACGCGCAGTTCGACAGTCCCGAGATCCTGCGGAGGCTGGACGTGCGGCTGCTGGAGGTACCGCTCTGCCTGGGGCACTGGCCCGCCCGCCAGCCCCGGACCCAGTGCTAGCGAGTGTTCTCCAGGGGGTTCGGGGCCCGGCTTGCCTTGCCAGTCTGGAAGCTAGACGGCCTGGTCGTGAGCCCACTCTGTTGCCTGTTCCAGGGCAGTCGCGGGCAGGCCTCTTCCCTGGGAACCCCCTGGGTCCCCGTTTGTGCCCCTTACAGAGGGGCCCTTTGCAGGCTGCTCAAGTCGGGCAAGATGCATGAGACCCTTGCCCGGTGCCCGGCAGCCCATCGCAGATGCCAGTGAACTGTGCTGACTTTTCAGAGTCAGCCCAAGAGGCGGTGCAGGACGTGATCTATAATAACAATGTTGTTTCTCAGAAAATCCGTGGTTTCAGTTTCAGTTTGTTAGGAGGTGACTTTTCTTAGGGGCATGGATGTCATAAACATGAACACACTATTTGCTCAGTTATGATGAAGGGTCAGTAGCAGAACTTGCTGAATTTCTTAGAACACCGGAGAATCAGGACTTTTAGTAAGAACTGAATTGGTACGACTCAAGGACTTGGACGTATTATAAGGCAATGGGTTTTTGTCATAGGCAAATGGTGATGAATTTTAAACGTATTTACAGTATTTATTAGCACATACACCGTTCATTCCCAGATATTTGTAGACCACCTATTATGTGCCTGCCATACTAGTTGCCAAGGTTACAAACCTTAACAGAAATGCAGTTTCCTGCTCTTACTCGGCTGAGCTCTCAGAAGTTTCAGCAGTTTTAACAACTTGGCCATTATTTCACTGCCCCCTTTTTTTGAGGAGTTGACTAATTCTTCAGCAGGAAGCTCAAAGCCTTGCAATTGTTTGTCTTTGGTGCCAGGTCTCCCCAGGTGACACGGGGTGGGACGTCTTCAGCCTGGATTATCATGTTGATGGACCGATCGCCACTGTAAGTGCGCTCTGTATGTTGTTACCTTGTTTACAGCTGTGCAGACTGCTCAGCGTTTTGTTGTTTGAAATTGTTTCTTCTCTCAGGACTTCTGACTGGTGATCACTCGACAGCTAAGACATACTTGCTGAATGAGTACTTATGCTGAAACTGTGTGTGTGTTTTAAATAAGTATTAGCGGGTGCTGAAACACTATTATTTCAGAAATTCTTAAAAACATCCTTTGTTCTTTCATAGGTTACAGCAGGTACTTCATGAACAGATTGTTCATTTTGTTCCATTATTCCTAGATTGTAGCAACTAATTTAGGATAATTTGAAAGGAACTATAAAGTATTTTAGGGGACCCGTATTTTTACTACTTAGATAAAATTTGATACTCAGTATTCATTTGTCCTGTTGAGGAAATAGCTGCACTTTGTTCCAGTGCTTTTTGCTCCCTAAGAAACTATTTCTTGTGCTTCCAAATCATAAATGGCTGACCAGGGCAGCCATCTTTCCAGGTGTCTGCAATTAAAATACCTCTTTTTAATGCTCATCTTTTCTTTATTGAGACTTGAATAAATCTCCCTTCACCAAGATACCTCCTTGAACTTATTTCGTTCATTTTTCTATCTGAAGTACTGAGAGAAGGACATTGCATTTCTTTTAAGTATTGGGAAAAATATTTTGTTAAGAAGGAATGTCCTTTGGCTCTAAAATTCCTTCCTAGCATTCTTGCAGAGCCCACTGCAGGAGTCATCCCCTGCTGGGAGAATTCGCTCAGGGCCACACTTGCCCTTTCTTTCTCTTGGGTTACAGCTTGCCTCCACAGACACATCTCTCCTGTCTCTTGTGAAAGGGCAGCTGCTGGCTCAGTTTTCTTCACCCATAACTTCCCGTCAATGTTTAACCTTTATGTCTCAGAGCCACTGTATTTTGAATGCATAACTACTCCTAAATTTAATTGTTTATCGTTTTCAAATTAGCTTTTTCTCCTTGGGCTTATATGTAAACACTTTTAAGTAGTTACAACATGCAAAAATTACATGTTACTTTCATTGCATAAAGGATACCTCAGAGAAGGCAATTGCATCTACTGTTTTACAAAGTCTGAGTGCTTTGACAAATAGATAAACTGAACATGTTCTCCTAGACGCTTTCTTAATTATTTCATCATATTGCGGGCCTTATAAGAGTATCAAGGTTGTACATTGCATGCTGTGTACATAAACAACTGATCATGCAATGTTGTTAAATACTGAGGTTTGTGTCTTTGGCACACAGATGTCAACTTGTATGCTGCCTCTGGGGTTGTGGTGGCACCTTGAAGCCTCCTGATGGAGAATGGAACCGCTGCCTGGTTGCTGAGGCTTGCTGAGGGTCTCAGTCGAATGTGTGGTCACCTGATGCCCTGTGGGTGTTTGTCCTCCAGCTCTGGGGTCAGCTCATGTCTTGGGCTTCGTGTATTTTTAGCTAAGTTGCCACTGCACAGTGACAAGTACTCAGATTAATATTAGTCATTGAAATAGTTTTTTCCTTAGGTTAATTTGTATGTAGTTGTATGTGAAAGTTACTAGAAAGATAAATATAAGACTATCGTATTTTAGAAATTATTTTAGAGTCAAGATTTGGAGGAAAATGGGTTTTTCACTTTTTCCCTGTTAAGTTACCACATTATCTCTATTTTCTTTCTATTCTTAATAATTTAGGTGGCCATTTTCATACAGAATTTAATTATGGGTACATATAATAATTATATACTGTATCAGATAACATAAAATAATTTTACCTTCATACTAATTATGTAATATACACTGTCAGTGAATAGGTCTAATTTGGAAAATTAATCTGGGAAATTCAAAGCCGGTTACCCAAATTCATACTTACATAACTAAATATAGTTTATAAACATTCAAAATAGTTTTGGTTCTTGTTTTTAATGAATTTAAACTATTTGGGTAAAATAAGTAGTTTTATTTTATCCAAAATTTGAATATGACTGGGACATTTATTGACTATATAACTAAAGATGGTTGATGTTTTAAGGTCATGAAGTTATAATGTGTGGTAAGATAGCCTAGTATTAGATGAAAAAGGATTATCTAGCTTTAATTTTTTTCATTTGACAGTTTAGCAGGATATAAATCTATTTATTTGTTATTTATTCCCAGTGATAAGCTCTTAGAAGCGTATTTTTAATATTTCTCTGAACTTTACACTAAGAGATTAACTGGAAGACTATATAAATGGCAAAATTAAAATGAGGTGATGTTTTCCTTTATTTATTGTTTTTTTTTGAGTTGGAGTCTCACTCTGTCGCCCAGACTGGAGTGCAGTGGCCGCTCCCAGCCACCGCAGCCTTGACCTGCGGGGCTCAGGAGATCCTTCCGCCTCAGCCTTCCGAATAGCCAGAATTACAGGCGCGTGCTACCACACCTGGCTAATTTTTTGATTTACTGTAGAGATGAGGTCTCGCCTGCCCAGACGGGTCTCGAACTCGCGGGCTCAGGCAATCCACTCACCTCAGCCTCCCAAAGGCGCGGGATTACAGGCTGAGCCACCGAGCCCGGCGTTGTTTTCCTTTATTTAATGTGAGTGGAATTTGACTGTTTTCCTCCTAAAGAGTTAATATTCCTAAAGTGCTGTGATTAAGCTGGATTTTAAAAAATCAGATTATTTTAAACGTGCTGCGGAAGCATGGTACTTAAGAAACCCCATCACATACCACTTGATTGGGGAAGAATCCTTTATTTATTTGTAAAACGATTTACCTGGCTGCCTTCAGTTTCCATCATTGTGAGTTTCGGTGGCATGAGAGTACAGCACATGGCTAATCTGCAGACTCAGCTCAGGCTCGGCTGTGGAGAAACTCACGGCAGCTGCTGGCACTCCTGGTTGGATGCTCATTCCTTCATTCAGTGGGGAGTGCCTTCCAGGCGCCAGAAGGCATCGGAGGCGTTAGTAGGTAGTGCTTGTTGCAGGTGACAAGTGACGGGAGCCTGTGAAATGCAGCAGAACCAGCTGAGTGCCGAAATTGTGAGGAACCGAGGAACCGGCAGCGGGTGTCAGAAGAGTGTGAAGTGGGTCGCGGTAGGACCTGGGAGGGTGTGAGGACCCGGGAGTGAGTGTCAGGAGAGTGTGACTAGAGGGACTTGGAGACGGTGTGAGGACTGGGGAGTGAGCATCAGAAGAGTGTGAATAGAGGCAGGTGCTGAGGCCTGGGGGCTGGGAGGACCAAAGCGTGAGTGTCAGAAGAGTGTAAATTGGGTCATGGTGAGGCCTGGGAGGGTGTGAGGACCTGGGTGTAAGTGTCAGAGGAGTGGGAATAGGGTCCTAGTGAGGCCTGGGGAGGTGTGAGGACCCGGGAGTGTTAGAGGAGTGTGAATAGAGATCGTATGAGACCTGGGGGGTGTGAAGACTCCAGAGTGAGTACCAGAAGAGTGTGAATAGGGGAACACGGGGAAACCTGGGAGGGTGTGAGAACCCCTGAGTGAGTGTCAGAGGAGTGTGAATAGGGGGTAGTAGTGAGACCTGGAAGGGTGTGAGGACCTGGGAGTGCTTGTCAGAGGAGTGAGTAGAGGGTCGTGGTGAGACCTGGGAGGGTGTGAGGATTCGGGAGTGAGTGTCAGAGGAGTGTGTTCAGACGGGTGTGGGGAGTCCTGGGAGTGTGTGAGGACCCGGGAGTGTCAGAGGAGTGTGAGTAGTATAAGTACCCAAGAGTGAGTGTCAGAGTAGTGTGAACAGACGGATACGGTGAGACCTGGGAAGGTGTGAGAGCCTGACAGTGAGCATCAGAAAAGTGTGAATAGAGGGATGTCAGAGACCTGGGAGGCTGTGTGTTTCTGTCCTTGATGGAAGCCCAAAGCCTGGCCAAGCGGGAAGGACAGTAGGTTCTCCCCAGGGAAGCTTGTGGAATGGTGCTCAAGGCCCATTGGTCCCAGTTCTGGTCACAAGGAGGATGCCTGTGTGGAGGCCTGTGTTCTTGCGGGTCCGGCCTCATCCTGGGGCTGAGATGCAGTCCCCGCTGTGCCAGTGTTCTCTCATGGGAGTGTAAGACACACTTTGGCAATGCTGTGACTCTCTGATCGGCCTCTAGTGGGCGAGCAGTGCCCACGTCTGCCACGTGCATGCTTGCACCCGAAACTCTCTTGGCTGCAGTTCGCAGAAAGCCCTGTGCCGTTTGTGCGTCGGCCATTCCTGTCCTGAAGAGTTACTACTTGTGGCGTATCGGGCCTCCAGATTTAACTGGGCTTCCGTGTTTCCATTTGTGGGCCCTGGCTGCCACCGGGGTGTGTGGAAGGAGGGTCTGGCCAGTCCTGCCACACAGGCTCGTCCTCTGTTGGGGGCCATGTCCGTGTGCAGGAACCGAGGCACTGGAAGCAGTCAGTCCCCTGTGACAGCACTGCAGGATTCTTTGGGGCTCTGGCTGCTGAGGGATGGGCTCTGCTGCCCATGAGTCCCGCAGCCTTGGGGCGGTGTCGTCTAGGCTCTAGCTTCAGACCAGGGCCAGGCTTCCTAGCTGTGTGCCACCAGGCCTCTGTGTCCCCGTCTGTGCAGGCCATGTAGACATGCCCACCTGCCTTCTGGCACCGCGGCTCTGCCTGGGACACCGCAATGCATGCGGTCGTTGTTCTAGCATGGCACTCCTTAACGCTCACCACCTACCCTGCAGACTCTCCCATGTGCTCCCGTCTCTGCTGTCCCTAGGTGTTCACTCGGGAGTGCATGGGCCACTACCTGCGGGTGTTCAACTTCCTGTGGAGGGCCAAGCGGATGGAGTACATCCTCACGGACATCCGCAAGGGACACATGTGCAACGCCAAGCTCCTGCGGGCCATGCCAGGTAACTGTGTCAAGCGCGGGCACACACCCCACCTCCCCCCTGGGGAGTGCCAGATAAGCACGTCAGCTGTGGGTGCACCCCCTCTCCACCTTCCCCCGGGCCATGCTAGGTAACCCTGCCAGCTACAGGCACACACCCTATCGCCTCCTGGGGTGTGCCAAGTAACTGCATCCACTGCAGGCACACCTCCTGCCTTCTCTGGGCCATGCCAGGTATTGGTGTCAGACATGGGTGCGTCCCCCACCTCCCCTCAGGGCGTGCCAGTTAACCGCATCAGGCAGCCCCCTGACTTCTCTGGGCCATGCTAGGTAACCACATCAGATGTGGGTTCACCCCCGTCAGCCTGTCTCCAGGGCCATGCTAGGTAACCCCGTCAGCCGCAGGCACCCCACTCCGCCTCCTCCTGGGCCATGCCAGGTAACTACATCAGGCTGCGGGGTGCACCCCGCCTCCCCATAGCCCCAGCAGCGCTGCAAGAGTGGAGGCTGCCCTAAAGCTGTGAGCTGAGAGGGTGGGCGCTGCTGTTCTGCTTTGCATGTGGGTTTTATAAAGAGGCTTGTTTGTGACATGGCTTATCTAGGCTTCAGAGTAAGTCAAGAAAAAAGTGGAGTTAAGCTATACTGTCTCATTATTTGGAGTTCATTTAAAAGGAAATTTGTTTCTTACTCTTGCGTTCGTATGTATACTGTAATTTTAAAAAAAATGACTATTTTAAAGGAAAGAAAGCCATTTAATAAATCACTGGCTCATTTAAAATTTACTTAGTATTTAATTGCATTCTACTTGAGAAGCTCTGTAGTGTTTGGTTCATAAAGCAGGGCCTAAAAATATATCATTTTATAATTTAAAGTTGTAGTAAATATTATCAGATGTCGGATAGGATGATTTTAAAGTTGAATGACTTTAGTGACAAATAGTTTTTTTTTTGAGTTGGAGTCTCACTCTGTCACCCAGACTGGAGTGCAGTGGCCGCTCCCGGCCACCGCAGCCTCGACCTGCTGGGCTCCGGCGATCCTTCCGCCTCAGCCTTCCGAGTAGCCGGAATTACAGGCATGCACTCCTGTGCCCGGCTGATTTTTTTTTTAATTTATTGTAGAGATGAGGTCTCGCCAAGTTGCCCAGGCGGGTCTCGAACCTGCGGGCACAGGCAATCTACTCACCTCAGCCTCCCAAAGCATGGGATTACAGGCTGAGCCACTGAGCCCGGCTTAATTTTGAAATCTTTATATTGAAGTTGATTTGGTCAACACCTTTGTGAGAGTGTGAGTGAGTATCTCCAAAGAAGAACAAAACTGTACACGCCCCCAATCCTGCGATTGGAGAAAAGTGACTTAAGAATAAAAAAGGAGTGGCCGCGGAGAGGAGCCGGGGTCTGCACTGCTGTCCCCAGTGAAGAAACATCTTTCCAAAACAGTGGCCCAGAAGCTTGGGCAAGCGGACAAGCAGCCTGAACCGTGGGGCGTGTGGCCTTGCCTTTCATGCTGGCCTTGCTCCCTGCTGCGACTCACTTGGAGGACAGCAGTGGAAGGAGTCCCCGGCACAGTGGCAGGACGGGAGGGGCGCTGTCTTTGAACCCTGTGCTGGTGGACGGTGGCTGCCCCTGGGAGCTAGGAGGGTTCATGCCCAGAGCACGCCCGTGGCTCACATCCAGTGTCTGTCCTCTTTCCCCTTGGTTTCTCGCCGTCTGTCTGCCTCTCCTCCGGCTTCATGGACGTGCACTGTGAGCTCTCCACGGGGCTGCTGCGCTCGCGAGATGGGCTTTCCTGCCCTTCTGGTCCCGTCTGTCTTATCGTGGGTTTAGACCAGCCCAGGGCCACATGGTGCTCAGCGTTGTCGCGTTTCTGTCTTCAGAATCAGCCTCTGATTCCAGCTCTGGGAGGCTGAGCCTTGACATCTGCAGCATCGGCTGGTGGGACGTGCCGTTCCGAGCTGAATGGCAGCCTGGCGGTGTCGGTGGGAGTTGCCCTTCTTACACTGCGTGGTCAGCAGTGAATGCTTTGATCGGTTCTCTTTGTGCAGGAACACATATGCTTTGCCGTTTGTCGAACTGGTCGTGTCCATGGCTGGGTCCTGCTCCACAGAATGGAACCCTGGCTCCCTCCACTGGTCCTTCCCTCCATCGTGGAAACTTCCCAAAGCATTTTCAGTAGCATCGTGAGACTGCCTTGTGCGCAATCGCTGATCACTTCTCCTGGGCTGGACCTGTAGTCTTTCCTCTAGTTTTCCAGCCGTGTAAATAGTTAGCAAATGCAGCCTGGTGCGCTTCTCTGAGCATTTTTCGAGAATAGACGGATTGAAAGTGGAGCTACTGACTGGCAGGTGTGAATTTTAGTTTTACTTTGCATTTGCTAACCCTTAGTATTCATATTTTCACTCTGTTGACACATGCTATCAGGTCACATTTCAGGAAAGGTGTGCCGAGTCAGTTCACATCCCAGTAGGCACAAGTCTTGTGGTTGGAAGTTGTCTGTATCGCTGTGTTTTTGCTAATGGTGGGCATTGCATTCAGTATATAACTGGACAAAAACTGGAAGTTCATTTTAACTTTAATTTGTGCCTTTTAGATTTTGTTTTTGAAATTACTGATAAGTGCAAACACTTTTTCTCTTTTTTGTGCTACTTGTGCAGTGTGCCCCCTTATCCACAGGGGGTGTTCTAAGGCCCTGGAACCGCAGACAGTGGCGAGCCTGTGTCCACTGCTTGCTTTCCCTTACACGTGCTGGGGTCAGGGTTAATTCATACCTTAGGCAGAGTGGGAGGTTGACAGTGGCAACCAGTAACAGAATGACTGGTGAAACACTGCACTGTCATGAGAGTCACGTGGATGTGCTCTCCCCAAAGCCTCTTCTGTCCTGCCAAGCTGGTCACCGTGACAGCCAGTGATGGATGGGTAGCTGGTGTGCACGGGGTGGGGGGTGCGGGACAGAGGGTGTGCCAGCTTCCCGGACAGCATGGAGCACGACACCACTCAGGCCAGGCTCAGTGTCAAACTTGGGAGTTTGTTTCTGGAGTTTTCTACCTCTGTATTTGGGCTGCTAAGGACTGTGGGTAACTGAAACTGCAGAAGCAGCCCTCGATGGGGTGGGGGGGCAACTCTGTGCGCATTTTGCCAGTGCTCGTGTTCTTAACTTTAGTCCATAAGTCTTTGAAAGCTGCTCAGGGCCAGGCAGCTTCATGAGCAGAAATCAGCAGCTGGTCTTGCTCCTGCAGCACATTAGAGATGTTCTTCCAGCCTTGCATCTTGGGCAAAAAACACAGACAAGCCATACGCAGTGGCCCACGCCTGCAATCCCAGCACTTTGGGAGGCTGAGGCCGGAGAATTGCCTGAGCTTAGGGGTTCGAGACCAGCCTGGACAACTTGGTGAGACTTGTCTCTACAATAAATAAAAAAATAAGCCTGGCATGGTACTATGCACCTGTAGTTCCAGCTACTTGGAAGGCTGAGGTGGAAGGATTGCCGGAGCCCAGCTGGTCGAGGCTTCAGTGGCTGTGAGTGTGCCACTGCACTCCAACCTGGACAGTAGAGTGAGAATCCGACTCAAAACAAACAGACAAAAAACACAGGCAGAACCCACCGGGTGCCTGAGAATGGCCTGTGGGGTGCCTCGAAGGACAGTGGGGTCTCATGTAAGACTAATACTTCCCACCCAGATAGTATTCCAGTAATTCACCCAGATAACCACCTGCTTCATTGTGTGGCGTGTGCAGTTAAAGGTGAAGTTACATACTGTGGACGAGGGTTTTGGTAATGGTCTGCCAAGAGAATTGTACCCATTTCCAACATATGATAATCTGTTTTAGGCCTTTGCCAACCCTGGGCAGTGCTAGTTTTTTGAATATTTACTATTCACTTGGACAAAGCAATGGTTAAGCCAAATGGGTTTTAGAGTCAACCACTGAAAAGTGTCTCTGCTGGTGGCACCTAAGTGCATGTGTCAGATGGTGTTTTCCGGAGTGGACATTTCCCGGAGTGGACATCAGTCACCGAGCCACCCTGAGCCAAGGAGCTCACATGCGGGGCAGGAGGGAGTGCGGAAGCCTTCTTTCCCCCTCAGATCTTTTCCGCCCACCTTTCAAAAGCCCGGCATTGAAACAATCCCCCTTTGGCCTCTGTTAGCAGTAAAGTGACCTTGACGCTCTGTGGAAGAGGGTGGGTGTGTCCATTCTTCATGAAGAACCAGGAGGAGACCCTCTGTGAGGTCCTGGTGGGCGTCTCGGCCCGGAATAGCGCGTCCCGGTCTCCTTAGATTTTTAAGGCACTCGTGTATTCCTCGGAGACGGAAGCAGTGTGGGAGCTGCATTTCTCACGGGCTGTGGAACGAGCTGCCTGCTTGGAAGCGACTGCTGCCAGGCTTGGGTTTGCTCTTCTAGGTGTTGAGCTCGGCTTGCTTCCAGCGAGATGTAAAATTCTGTTGTCAAGTTAGCGTTTGTACACAGAACTCTCGATTATTTCCTAAGTGGTAATAAAAGGCTCCTGATGATCCTTCCTCTTTTTAATCCTGCTGAACAAAACGAGCTCTGGCTATGACAGTGTCTTCCTCATCTGTGAGCCGAGGGCAGCGTCTGCACGCAGATGTCTCTTGGCAGGACCACATCGTAGCAGCGGGGCAGGGAGGGTTCCCAGGCTTTTACATGGAAGACATTCTGGCGATGCCACGGTTGCCTCCTCAGCGTGCATGGGGGGAGCATCTTGGGGTGTTGCGGTCACCTCAACTCGCAGGGGGAGCATTTGGGGGTGTCACGGTCACCTCAGTGCAGGGGTGAGCACTTTGAGGTGTTACGTTCGCCTCCTCAGTGTGCAGGGAGAGCCCTTTGGGGTGTTATGGTCACATTCTCAGACTTCAGCGGGGAGCCCTTTGGAGTGTCATGGTCGCTTCCTCAGCATGGAGGGAGAGCACTGTGGTGTGTTACCTCTTCAGCAGGCAGGGACAGCACTCTGGGGGCATCACTGTTGCCTCCTCTGCCTCTGCGGGTCTGGAGGCTGCAGGGGGGCGGGGTGAGGTTCCAGCCGTGACCCCTAACCCTGCCCTGCCCCTCAGCCCTGATCTGGGCCTCATCCTAGCCCTGCCCTGCCCCCCCAGCTCTGTCCCGCCTCCCCGACTGCTGCCCTGCATTCTCCTCTGGTTCACACGGTCTCCCGCACATCTGGCTGTCCTCAGCCATAGATGGCAGCAGACCAGAGCAGACGTGACAAACACAGGGAAGGGTGGCCTGGTCCAACATGTTGTAACGCAAGACACACCAAGCCTTCATTCTCGTGCTGCTTTGTCTTCCTTGTAACCATATTGTACCACTTCTAAGTTTCTGCAGTGTCTCCATTTTTTAACAGAATGTGTCTTAAAACCTGTCCCGCTGGCGTCGTGGGCACTGTTAGCAGGACCTGGCACTTGGCCCAGCTCCTGAGTGCCTGGGCTGTGTTCTGTGCTGGGACAGCAGTCAGTGCAGCACCGCCGTGGCCAGGTGTCTTCAGAAAGGTGACCCTGTGGTTCTGTGTGGCATCGAAAAGCCACTGTGCAGGCAGGGGTGTGCGCTGGAAATGATGGACGGGTGGTCAGCAGAAGGAGCGGAAGTCCACCCCTCTGTGTGCAGCAGCCCACACCCTTCACATTCCTACAAGGGCAGCAGGACATGGGTGCCGCGGGGCCCTGCTAGGGGCCTGTCACCACAGGACTGAGGTCAGAGTGCTTGGCAGCTATGGGCAGTAGTGTCTCGTCTTAAAAATGAAAGTGTCTTAGATGCGGTGAAACGATGCTAAGAGATGGGTTGAAGCTTTCTCTTTAAACAGTTCTCTGTGTGTGTGGACGAGTCGGCCCCAGTGGGCCTCAGTGGCTATACAGGCATGAAAAGCCCTCTGTGCCTCCCTGCGGCCTGAAGGGATGGAGTCCTCCTGTCGGCCACTGCAGACCAGCGCGGCTACGGCCCGGGAGCCCCTCTCCTGCCCCGCGGTCGAGTGGCTGCGGCTGGTTTCTTAACCCTGGCCTCAGTTTCTGCCCCCAGGGGTGGGGTGAGAACGGCTGGGACTTAGACTACATCTGTGCAGGAGCTCTCAGACCAGCCCGGCTCACGGGGAGCACCCCGTCGTGGTGTCACCGGTCTGTGGGGCCAGGACAAGAGTATGGCGCAGAGAGCCTGAAAGGCGGGTGGGGACTTCGAAGCAAGTCGCAGCAGGTGCTGCTTCCCGACACGCCTCTTGGTCCTCAGTCTTGAGAAAAAGAACCCGGTGGTCCTTCAACAAGGTCTGTTGTAAATAGCATAGCAGTGATCACAGACACTGGTTGGGATAGGTGGTGGCTTCGAAACATGAAGAAGCTGTTTTTGGATATTAAAAAAAATAAGCCTTAGCAGCAGGCAGTGCCGTTAGTGGTGATGTCTGCAGAGGCCAGCACGGCTCAGCCTGGAGTCTTCTGAAAGCCTGCAGGGGCCTGGGAAGTTCGGTCCTGGCAGGTCCTGATCTGAGTTGCCTGCCCAAGGCCGGCTCCGTGCGTCTGCTGGACCTCAGTGCCGGCATTGCTCTGCCCGTGGGATTCTTACATAGCTGTGGTCAACCGTGGAAGGAGACGCATAGTTCAGACATAAGCTGCAATGTGTTCAGGGTGCTTGGGAAAGGGATTCTAGGGTGTTGCCAGGACAAACTGGGTTTTCTAGAAATTAAAGGGTGGAGGCGTGCCTCATGAGTTGATTTCGTAACCCTAGCCTTGGAAGTTAGAGGTCCAAAATACCATTGCATTAGTGATTGGTTGATTTCTCACCGGGGAAAGAAAGCCACTGTGTATGTGGATTCCGACTCTGAGGTGTGGGTTGTTAGGTCGAGTCACTTCAAGGGGCAGCATTCCCAAGGCAGCAGCCGCGGGTTCCCGCCCTCAGAGGCTCCTTCGTAGAAGACGTGAAGACGCAGCCCGGTGCCCGGCGCAGTGTCTGGGTGCAAGGCAAGGCGGCTGTCCTGGAAAGGAAACCGGTGGGTGGGAGTGAGCAAAGGCTGGAGAGGAGCGCTCGCGTGGCCATGGGCTGCCGAGCCCCCGTGGCTGCGCACATCTGGACGGGCACCTGAACCGCGGCTGCAGCAGAGCGTCCAAGTCCCACCTCCCTCCAGGGAGCCACCATCCATGTGTCTTTTGTGTCACTCGTCTGGCTCCCTGTGATGGCAGCGACATGCCAGTTCTCCGTGATCGAGGCGTCCACTGCCTGAGGAGAGCAAGGTAGACATTGACACAGGAGCGAAAATACACACACGTGCCGATTATTGGGTGTGGGAGGAGCCAATACCGTGGGAGAAAAACACGAGGCCCTGGCGGACGTGCGCAGTTCAAGAGGGCTCCAGGTATGCGTCCAGCTGCCCCAATGGGCGGGTGGGTGTCAGGGCAGTGGGGAGGAGGCAGGGTCAGGGGTGTCGCCGAGAGGGGGTGGGACCAGAGGAGCGCAAAGGCCCGGATTGCAGTTGTCAGGGGAGGGGGCTGGAAGGAGTCGGTTGTGACAATTCGCGAGAGGCAACACATGGCAGTTGGGAGGGAGATCTAGGTTTGCGGCTTTGGGGCTGAGGCGCTAGATTAGCGTAGCGTGAAAGTTTTCAATATAACTGTTGAATATGCTGTGGTTTATTTCACGCGTTCCTCACTGGGTTAAGGGCTGTAATGCTCCTGACTTGTGTGGCTAGAACAGCACAGAAGCTGACCGTGGAGAGCTGGCTGCCTGCTAAGGTCGAGAATGCCCACATGGCATTTTGGGACGACTGTGAACGGGGTGGAGGGAGCGCACACGTGGTCTCGAGGCGCGCCCCACCTGACCCGGCTCTCCCCCGCAGAGTTCGCTGGGGTGCTGCACCAGTGCCATGTCCTGGCCTCTGAGATGGTGCACTTCGTCCATCAGATGCAGTACTACATCACATTCGAGGTACGTGGCCGCACGGGCTCAGCCTGCGGGGCTGTGCAGCTGCTGCCCGGGCGTGTGTGCCTCACGCGAGGGCTCGTGGCTTTCCAGGTGCTCGAGTGCTCCTGGGACGAGCTGTGGAGCAAGGTGCGGCAGGCCCGGGATCTGGACCACATCATCGCGGCCCACGAGGTCTTCCTGGACACCATCATCTCCCGCTGCCTACTGGGCGGCGACTCCAGGGTGAGTCCCACCGCCTGTCCTGGGGCTCATGGCAGATCCCGCGATGTGGCCTTGCGGCCTGAATGCGGGTGGCTTTGCTCAAGGTTGGAAACTCGAGGATTTCTGAGCAGCATCGGCACCACCGAGCGGAAGCAGGAGTGCACTCCCAACTGGGCGTGAGCCCGGTCGCGAGAACGCCCGTTCACGGTCTGGCTGGAGGAGCAGCCCGTGTGGGGATCCATCAGGGAACAGCTGGGAGCAACGGTGGGGAGGCGTGGTGGGGAGAGCTGCACAGCAAGCACTGCGGCAGGGGCACGGCACCCACTGTCACACTCATGAAGCTTCCGGCAGCAGACAAGGCGTGTCACACCTCGGGTTGCCTTTTTCTTCTCTTACCCTGGGACCGTGGGCTTCTCGTGTTCTCATTTGCTGTGTCCAGCCAGGCTGCTGGCTGGCTTTTTCCCCCCGAAGGGCCTGTGTTCTGGCAAATGGTGAGGTCGAGGAGCAGCCCATGTGGGGTGGCAAATTGTGAGGTCGAGGCAGAGCTTCATGCACATGATTGCGTGACCCGTGTGTTTTCTGAGACACTTTGGCCTCCCACCTCCCCTGGCGCACCTCGGGGGCCCTCCGCGGACAGTGAACGGCTTCAGGGCTTGTGTTCTGTGTAAATTGTAGTTGATCTAGTGCATGAACTGTGACTGAGAAGATCGTCACTGTGATGTGCTGAACCTCATTGTTAAAGAATTGCCGGTCACGTGTCCGAAATGACTGAGGTCAAAGACGCTTTTAGCTGGAAGGTTTTGTGGGTTTTATGAATAGACCCCACAAAGGTAAAATGTTCACAGATAATGATTGACTTGAGGAGCCCTTCTGCCTTCCCTGTCTGAGGCTAGCTTGTGGTCAGGCTACCCTGTGGAGGCTCGCGGCGTCTGCTGGTGGATGGGGCTCTCTGCTCCGTAGGTGTGGGTGAGCGTCCTCAGCACACGCACAGAGGGCTGTATGACGATGTGGCAGCCAGCACAGTCCCTAGGCTCCCGGCCGTGCGTGCCTCGGCCAGGCTTGCCAGCGTTGTGGTGCAGTCCACAGTGAGTCAGACGTGGACCAGCAGGCCAGGGCCCTGGGGCCGAGTCCCACATAATAACTTTTGACTCCAGTGTTCTGTTGAAAGGGCATGACCCTAGTCTCCAACAATGAACTTAATTGTAACATCCGAGCAAGATGTGTACCACAGTGACTGGCGTGCATGTTTTTACCTATTGCTGTTGTTTTTGAACAATTAAAAGTCATTGTGTGTACGTGTGTGGGTGCGTGTATTCTGCAGAGGGGTTTGCAGTCACCAGAGTTCATGCTTTTCTGGAAAGGCTTGGGCTGCTGAGGAGAATGCCATGCTGGTATCAGTCAAGCCTGGTACACATAGAGTCCCACACCTGGTGAGCGGTGTCGGAGCTGTGGCCTCCGTGGAGATGTGAGCGTGGTGTGTGACTCAGCTTGGCTGTTACAGGCCTGGCCTATAGGTGACTCCACAGGCGAGGATGTCACCAGGGCAGCAGGTGCAGCCGGGTGTGGCATTCGCGATCTTGTGTACAGGGTGATGTGGAAGTGGGGCCCGGCCCACCCCCGAGACCTCGCGCACTTCTGAACGTGTCTCAGGGGCTGGTGGCTGTGCTCTCACTTGGATGATTTGTTCAAAAATCACTTAAGAGGTTTTCTTTTTTTTAAAGAAACCCAACTTAGAAAACAGAAGGAAAACAGTCTGTTATGGACCTGAGCTCTTTTGAGTGGAGCATTTTTATGATGTCACCCACTAAGACAACTAAGGCCATTTTGATGCTGATAATTTTGAAGTGGAGACCATGCTGTGACGGTGCAGGGCTGTGTGTGTGTGTGTGTGTGTGTGTGTGTGTGTGTGTGTGTGTGTGTGTGTGGCTTTTGTTGGTGCAATGTGGAGAGAAATCTGACTTGCACCAAGAGTTGGTGCTGTGGCATCACCAGGGGCGGCGTCTTGCAGTGCCTTACGGGGGCAGCTTGTCTGCGGAGCAAGTGTCAGGAGGTCACCTTGTGGTTGAACTCACTGTCCCCAGGAAAAGAAGGTGGATTTGCCTTTCAGTGTAATCCAGAAGCAATCTAGAGAGTGAAGCCTGCACCAAGAGCAACTCGTGAAATCTCTCTTTGGTTTTGTTACTTTGTGGTGAGACCCTCCGGGAGGACAGGATAGCTCTAAGACGAGTCCTCGTGAGACTGCTGCTGTGTTGGTCATGTGTCGTTACAGCTGGAAAAGCCACACCTTCGGAGCTGTCTGTCTTGTGCCACGTTGAATCCACGTTGCTTTTGTGGCTTGTGATGTGGCAATTGGTGTTCGTTGTTGGCTATGATATTTGCAGACATCCCACAGGACCTTGGTCATATCAAGGCGGTTCCCTACTAATCCTGGTTTCTTAAGATGCTTTGTTTAATTGAGTGGATTGAGTGTGTCACAGTGTTTTCCTGCACTGTTGAGATTATCCCCCCCAAAACGGCTAGTGGACACTCTATACCCAAGACGGCAGACGGTGGAGGCTACCCTTCTCTTCAGGTGTGGTGCATGGCCATTGGCAGCACTGAGAAACTGGCTGCTGGTGATGTTAATTTTACCCCTTGCCCCAGCTCCCTGCTTTGTCCTGCTCTGCCCTCCCCACTCGCACCAGGTCTAATGTGTTTGCCCAGGCCTGGGACATGTGGACTATGTCGTGTGTGTTTTAAGGTGTCTAAGTGTGGATTTTGTTGTTTCCCTCTTCCTTCCACACCACACGAGGTGAAAGATTAATGACGTGGTAGACGCACACGGAGGAAGGCGGGCGCCAGGTGTTTGTGCATGCCGGAGAGGTGTGCCGTGGCAGGGAGTGAAAACAACACCAGGAGATTTGTCCCAGGTGTTAAGCCATCCTTCTAGTCCTGGGAGAAAGCACAATACCAATTTTTTAAACAGGCTGGCTGAATTTGCTTTTTCTGTTGCATTCAGAGTCTCCTTTCTTGCAGTCTCCATTGTTGGATTTTGATGGATCTTGAAAACACTGAGGTGGCTTCCTGTTCTTTTGTATTCCTTGGAAGAGTTCCACTCATAACCGCCCACTACCTAGCTTTGGAATTTGGGGCACAATTCTGCTTTTGAAAGGTTGAGACTTGGAGGTGGTTGCACGGAACATGTGACCTATCAGAATACGTGGTCACTGCGACTGCTCTTGTGAGGGTTGGGGAGGTGTCACAATGACTTGTGGTCTCCAGCCTGGGCTGCCTGGGAGCTTCAGCAGATGTGTGTGAGCGACTGGAGCAGTGGCTGGTGGATACTGGACAGCTTCAGTTCATGTCTCATTTTAGGATGTCTATTCACTAACTTAATGTTAGTTAAAACAGTAAGCTTGTTGAGGCTCTACTCATAAAAATTGTTGTGTCTCTTCAGGCACTGTTAAACCAACTGAGAGCTGTGTTTGACCAGATCATTGAGCTTCAGAACACCCAGGACACCATCTACAGAGCGGCCTTGGAGGAGCTGCAGAGACGGCTACAGTTTGAAGAGAAGAAGAAGCAGCATGAGGTTGAGGTGAGGTCTTTACAGGAGCAGGAGGTTGAGGAGTGGTTTTTATACCATCACGAGGTTGAAGTGTCGTTTTTATAGTACCACGAGGTTGAGGTTGGTCTTTATAGCATCTTGAGGTCGAGGTTGGTTTTTATAGTATCATGAGGTCGAGGTTGGCCTTTATAGTATCTTGAGGTCAAGGTTGGTCTTTATAGTATCTCGAGTTTGAAGTTGGTCTTTGTAGTATCTCGAGGTTGAGGTGTCATTTTTATAGTATCAGAAGGTCAAGGTCAGTCTTTAAAGTATCACAAAGTTGAGATCAGTCTATAAAGAGGTCTAGGTCGGTCGTTATAGTGTCTCAAGGTCGAGGTCGGTCTTTATAGCATCTCAAGGTTGAGGTCGGTCTTCTCGAGGTTGAGGTCAGTCTTTATAGCATCTCGAGGTCGAAGTAGTTCTTTCAGGAGGTTAAAGTCAGTCTTTATAGTATCATGAGGTTGAGGTCAGTCTTTATAGCATAACGAAGTCGAGGTGTGGTCTTTATATAGCATCCCAAGATCAAGGTGTGGTCTTTATAGCATCTCGAGGTTGAGAATGGTTTCATAGCATCTCAAGGTCGAGGTCAGTCTTTATAGCATCTCAAGGTCGAGGTCGGTCTTCATGGCGTCTCGAGGATGAGGTTGGTCTTTACAGTGTCTCGAGTTCAGTCTTCATAGCGTCTCGAGGTTGAGGTTGGTCTTCAAAGTGTATCGAGGTTTAGGTTGGTCTTTATAGCATCTTGAGGTCGAGGTTGGTCTTTCTTGAGGTCAGGTTTGGTCTTTATAGCATCTTGAGGTCAAGGTCGGTCTTTATAGTTTCGAGGTCTAGGTTGATCTTTATAGCATCTTGAGGTCAAGGTCGGTTTTTCTTGAGATCAAGACCGGTTTTATGGCATCTCAAGGTTGAAGTTGGCCTTTATAGCATCTCGAGTTCAAGTTTGATCTTTATAGCATTGTGAGGTTGAGGTTGGTCTTTATAGCATCTTGAGGTCGAGGTTGGTCTTTATAGTCTCGAGGTCTAGGTTGGTCTTTATAGCATCTTGAGGTCAAGGTTGGTCTTTCTCGAGGTCAAGGTCAGTCTTTATAGCATATCGAGGTTGAGTTTGGTCTTCATAGCACCTTGAGGTTGAGGTCGGTCTTTCTTGAGGTCAGGGTAGGTCTTTATAGCATCTCGAGTTTGAGATCGGTCTTTATAGCATCTTGAGGTTAAGGTCAGTCTTTCTTGAGGTCAAGGTCAGTCTATAGAATCTCGAGGTGCGGTTCGTCCTTATAGCATCTTGAAGTCTAGGTTGGTCTTCGTAGCATCTTGAGGTTGGTCTTTCTTGAGGTCAAGGTCAGTCTTTATAGCATCTCGAGGTCGAGGTTGATCTTTATAGCATTTCGAGGTTAAGATTGGTCTTTGTAGCATCTCGAGGTCGAGGTTGGTCTTGGCGTCTCGAGGTCGAGGCCAGTCTTCATGGCATCTCAAGGTTGAGGTCGGTCTTCATGGCGTCTCAAGGTCGAGGTCACTCTTTATGGTGTCATGAGCTTGAGGTCTGTCGCATCTCAAGTTAAGGTCAGTCTTTATAGCATTTCAAGGTTGAGATCAGTCTTTATAGCATCGTGAGGTCTTGGTTGGTCTTTATAGCCTCTTGAGGTCAAGGTCGGTCTTTCTCGAAGTCAAGGTCAGTCTTTTGATTAGCTCGAGTTCGAGGTCGGTGTTTATAGCATCTTGAGGTCAAGGTCGGTCTTTATAGTATCACGAGGTCGAGGTTGGTCTTTATTGCTTCTCAATGTCGAGGTCAGTCTTTATGGCATCTTGAGGTCGAGATTGGTCTTCATAGTGTCTTGAGGTCAAGGTCAGTCTTCATAGCGTCTTGAGGTTGAGGTTGGTCGTTATAGTGTCTCTAGGTCGAAGTTGGGCTTTATAGTTTCTCGAGGTCAAAGTTGGTCTTTATAGCATCTCAAGGTCGGTCCTTGTAGCATCGCAAGGTCGAGGTTGGTCTTTATAGCATCTTGAGGTCGAGGTCAGTCTTTATAGTATCATGAGGTTGAGATCGGTCTTTATAGCATCTCGAGGTAGAGGTTGGTCTTCATAGCATCTTGAGGGTGAGGTCGGTCCTGACAGCATTTGAGGTCGGAGGTTGGGCCTCATAGCATCACAAGGTTGAGGTTGGTTTTTATAGTATCTCTAGGTCCAGGTTGGTTTTCATGGTATCATGAAGTCGAGGTGGGTATTTATAGTATCTCGAGGTCGAGGTCAATCTTTATAGTATCTCGAGGTCGAGGTCAGTCTTTATACTATCTTGAGGTCAGGTCGGTCTTTATAGCATCTTGAGACTGAGTTTGGTTTTTAATAGCATCTTGAGGTCAAGGTTGGTCTTTCTCGAGGTCAAGGTCAGTCTTTATAGCATCTCGAGGTCGAGGTTGATCTTTATAGCATTTCGAGGTTAAGATTGGTCTTTGTAGCATCTCGAGGTCGAGGTTGGTCTTGGCATCTCGAGGTCGAGGCCAGTCTTCATGGCATCTCAAGGTTGAGGTCGGTCTTCATGGCGTCTCAAGGTCGAGGTCACTCTTTATGGCATCATGAGGCCATAGTTGGTCTTTATAGCATCTTGAAGTCGAGGTCGATCTTCATAGTGTCTCAAGGTTGAGGTCGGTCCTCATAGTGTTTCGAGGTCAAGGTCAGTCTTCATAGTGTCGAGGTTGGTCTTTATAGTATCTAGAGGTCAAGGTCGGTCTTTATAGGATCTCTAGGTCCAGGACAGTCTTTACAGTATCACAAGGTTGAGGTTGGTCTTTATAGTATCTCGAGTTCGAATTTGTTCTTTATAGCATCTTTTTTTTGTTTGTTTTGTTTTTGGTTTTTTTTTT